CTAATCTGTCATCATTAAAGGGCCCTAATCTGTCAACATTAAAGGGGCCTAATCTGTCATCATTAAAGGGCCCTAATCATGTCAACATTAAAGGGCCCTAATCTGTCATCATTAAAGGGCCCTAATCTGGCCAAAGGCATTAATAATACCTGCTCTTTTCAAATACTTCTTCAACTAATATTATGAAACAAAATAGTAAAATAGTTCATAGATATTTGAATTTCTAAATCAGTTTTACAGCCCCTAAATCTTGTTATTGTTTTTGTTTTAATTATTGTTTTTACTTTAATGATGACAGATTAGGGCCCTTTAATGATGACAGATTAGGGCCCTTTAATGTTGACATGATTAGGGCCCTTTAATGATGACAGATTAGGGCCCTTTAATGATGACAGATTAGGGCCCTTTAATGATGACAGATTAGAGCCCTTTAATGATGACAGATTAGGGCCCTTTCATGATGACAGATTAGGGCCCTTTAATGATGTCAGATTAGGGCCCTTTAATGATGACAGATTAGGGCCCTTTAATTATGACAGATTAGGGCCCTTTAATTATGACAGATTAGGGCCCTTTAATGACGACAGATTAGGGCCCTTTAATGATGTCAGATTAGGGCCCTTTAATGATGACAGATTAGGGCCCTTTAATGATGACAGATTAGGGCCCTTTAATGATGACAGATTAGGGCCCTTTAATGATGACAGATTAGGGCCCTTTAATGACGACAGATTAGGGCCCTTTAATGAAGACAGATTAGGGCCCTTTAATGATGACAGATTAGGGCCCTTTAATGATGACAGATTAGGGCCCTTTAATGATGACAGATTAGGGCCCTTTAATGTTGACACGACATAATAATCTTACATTTTGCTGCTTTAAACTGCTGTAATACTAATAATGGAGAAGTATTTGAACTACGTGAAGGTTATCATCGGGGGATCTCCAGTGCCGTAAATCCGTCCAAAGTCTGAGTTGCCAGAGTTGTGCTGACTCCACAAACAACAGGTGTTAGGGCCAGACCCCGCAGCAGTAAACACAAAATGCGAGAAACCCCCTTCACAACGTAACAGCCGTGTCCCTGTGCTCCAGACAAAACAGGGCCCGCATGACAGCCTGAGTCATCACCATCAGCCGCTCACACCAGCACTGAGCACTTTAGACCCACTCATGAAACTAGGATTCTCTGTGTTTAAGATTGGCATTGAAAATAACACTGAAAAATCACCTCGTTTAGATTATTTACACACACACGCACGCACGCACGCACGCACGCACACACACACACACACACACACACATGCACTTATTATTTATTTATTTCACTGCGGACGAATACAAAAATAAAGTTGTCTTGTGAGAGTTTGTGGAAAGAAACTGAAGAAACTGAAAAAAACAGATGTCCTGCATTACAGTGAACCATATCTGGTCTCTCTCTGGTCTCTCTCTGGTCTCTCTCTGGTCTCTCTCTGGTCTCTCTCTGGTCTCTCTCTATGGTCTCTCTCTGGTCTCTCTCTATGGTCTCTCTCTGGTCTCTCTATGGTCTCTCTCTGGTCTCTCTCTGGTCTCTCTCTCTGGTCTCTCTCTATGGTCTCTCTCTGGTCTCTCTATGGTCTCTCTCTGGTCTCTCTCTCTGCCTCTCTCTGCTCTCTCTCTGGTCTCTCTCTGGTCTCTCTCTGGTCTCTCTCTATGGTCTCTCTCTGGTCTCTCTCTGGTCTCTCTATGGTCTCTCTCTGGTCTCTCTCTGCTCTCTCTCTGGTCTCTCTCTATGGTCTCTCTCTGGTCTCTCTCTGGTCTCTCTCTCTGCTCTCTCTCTGGTCTCTCTCTGGTCTCTCTCTGGTCTCTCTCTGGTCTCTCTCTGGTCTCTCTCTATGGTCTCTCTCTGGTCTCTCTCTATGGTCTCTCTCTGGTCTCTCTCTGGTCTCTCTCTCTGCTCTCTCTCTGCTCTCTCTCTGGTCTCTCTCTGGTCTCTCTCTGGTCTCTCTCTGGTCTCTCTCTGGTCTCTCTCTCTGCTCTCTCTCTGGTCTCTCTCTGGTCTCTCTCTGCTCTCTCTCTATGGTCTCTCTCTGGTCTCTCTCTCTGCTCTCTCTCTGGTCTCTCTCTGGTCTCTCTCTGGTCTCTCTCTGGTCTCTCTATGGTCTCTCTCTGGTCTCTCTCTATGGTCTCTCTCTGGTCTCTCTCTCTGCTCTCTCTCTGGTCTCTCTCTGGTCTCTCTCTGGTCTCTCTCTGCTCTCTCTCTGCTCTCTCTCTGGTCTCTCTCTGGTCTCTCTCTGGTCTCTCTCTGGTCTCTCTCTGTCTCTCACTCTGGTCTCTCTCTGGTCTCTCTCTGTCTCTCACTCTGGTCTCTCTCTGGTCTCTCTCTGTCTCTCACTCTGGTCTCTCTCTGGTCTCTCTCTGGTCTCTCTCTGCTCTCTCTCTGCTCTCTCTCTGCTCTCTCTCTGGTCTCTCTCTGGTCTCTCTCTGGTCTCTCTCTGGTCTCTCTCTGGTCTCTCTCTGGTCTCTCTCTGTCTCTCACTCTGGTCTCTCTCTGGTCTCTCTCTGGTCTCTCTCTGGTCTCTCTCTTGTCTCTCTCTGGTCTCTCTCTGGTCTCTCTCTGGTCTCTCTCTGGTCTTGTAAAATATATGTAGAGAAATTGAATAAAGCATAAGTGTATAAATATTGCCGCATTAGGGATTCACCAACACGATACTGGAATTGTATAAAGGATATCGTATCAAGTTGAGTTTATTTATTAGCCATTTGCAGTAAAACCCCATTGGAATACATCCGCAAGAGTGTGAACAAGACAAGTGCATGAATAAAACAAGCAAAACAGGAAAGAATAGTCTCTGAAATGGATCAAACAGTTTCAAAACAAGTGGAGATCATTTAAAGTGCTGTGTTTAAAGTGATAAGAGTTCATGGAAAGAGGCTGTTTGCAAACCCAGATGTCCTGCATCTTAAGTGATTCTGCCAGAGGGAAGAAGCTGGAACATGGCTTTTCCAGGAGCCAGAAGAATCATTGATTATTCAAAGAGTTCGGTTTAAAAATCTGTATTCATAAAGAACTTCCAGAACAGACAGATCATAGTCCTCTCTCAGAGCGGAGAACCTCTCTCTAGTCTCCCTCTAGTCTCTCTCTGGTCTCTCTTTGGTCTCTCCCTGGTCTCTCTCTAGTCTCTCTCTAGTCTCTCTCTAGTCTCTCTCTGGTCTCTCTCTGGTCTCTCTCTGGTCTCTCTCTGGTGTCTCTCTGCTCTCTCTCTGGTCTCTCTCTGGTCTCTCTCTGGTGTCTCTCTGCTCTCTCTCTGGTCTCTCTCTGGTCTCTCTCTGGTCTCTCTCTGGTCTCTCTCTGGTCTCTCTCTGGTCTCTCTCTGGTCTCTCTCTGGTCTCTCTTTGGTCTCTCTCTAGTCTCTCTCTGGTCTCTCTCTGGTCTCTCTCTAGTCTCTCTCTGGTCTCTCTCTGGTCTCTCTCTGGTCTCTCTCGGGTGTCTCTCTGCTCTCTCTCTGGTCTCTCTCTGGTGTCTCTCTGCTCTCTCTCTGGTCTCTCTCTGGTCTCTCTCTGGTCTCTCTCTGGTCTCTCTCTAGTCTCTCTCTGGTCTCTCTTTGGTCTCTCTCTAGTCTCTCTCTGCTCTCTCTCTGGTCTCTCTCTGCTCTCTCTCTGGTCTCTCTCTGGTCTCTCTCTGGTCTCTCTCTGGTCTCTCTCTGGTCTCTCTCTGGTCTCTCTCTCTGCTCTCTCTCTGCTCTCTCTCTGGTCTCTCTCTGCTCTCTCTCTGCTCTCTCTCTGCTCTCTCTCTGGTCTCTCTCTGGTCTCTCTCTGGTCTCTCTCTCTGTTCTCTCTCTCTGTTCTCTCTCTGTTCTCTCTCTCTAGTCTCTCTCTGGTCTCTCTCTGGTCTCTCTCTAGTCTCTCTCTGGTCTCTCTCTGGTCTCTCTCTGCTCTCTCTCTGCTCTCTCTCTGGTCTCTCTCTGGTCTCTCTCTGCTCTCTCTCTGGTCTCTCTCTGCTTTCTCTCTGGTCTCTCTCTCTGCTCTCTCTGGTCTCTCTCTGGTCTCTCTCTGGTCTCTCTCTGCTCTCTCTCTTTGGTCTCTCTCTGCTCTCTCTCTGGTCTCTTTGCTCTCTCCTTTCTTTGTCTGTGATGTCACCAAACCACACAGTCACAGAACCAACAATCAAACCTTGCTGCAGTAATAAAAGTGAAGCCAGATTGAGGTAAATTCTCGGAGGTAACGTTTCCAGGCTTTCTCTTTTTTCATTTTTGGTCAATTTCAGGTCAATAGACAAAGTCAAAACATCAAATTCTCTTTCATCGAGTATCGGTTTGACATCTTGCATAGGCCTTGACACTTACTCTCTGACTTTAGCCCAGAATGCCATTCAGAGATCCACTTTAGACAGTAGCTCTGCAGACATGATCGATAAACAGTAGCCTGGTCTTAGCCATTCGTAAACTCAGGTCAATCATCATTTCCTACATGTACATATTTGACTTGTGAAGCGTCTTTGAGCGTCTATAAAAGCGCTATATAAAGTTACATCGGTTGAAACCCATGAACCAACCAATCAGTGAGCGCGGGAGGCGGGTGTTGAAGTTAGATGTGGGTGAAGTTTGCGGGTTGTAGTTTGGCAATGGATAGTAAAGTGTTCCGGTCTGGTTCTATCAAGAGATTGAAGCCGGAGCAAGAGGAATGTTTAGTAAATGTACTTGTTGGCAAAGATCTACTCCCCACGGGCTCCGTGAGTGGCAAAGGAGATGGCTAAAGCTAGGCTAAATGCTAAATGCTAGCGACTCACTTGGGTGCATTACAGATCCAATGGTTTCAGTCTGCAAAAGGAGTTAACCCCTCCCACCCGTTAACGGACTCAATTATGCAAATCCAGACCTTAGCACCAAATGAAATGAGTGCCATGGTGCGGTAAGGCCAGGCCGGATGTACAGCTAGCTTCAATATATTCTCTCATCACTGGAGGCCATCCATTTAGAGTCCATGAAGCTCTGTATCCCAAAGCTCTGTGGCGAGTGTCAGTCATGCAGCATATTCCAGACGTGCACTCACCTGCCCCTCTGCGGAGCACTGTAACCATTGCGTTCACAAATAATCATCATTTTAGCGCGACGCCTAAGGAGCCGCTGGAAACATTAGCAATGCAGGAGACGCTACTTCCAAGAGCCAACATGAAAAGTCCGGTCACTCCCTGCACCGACTCAGAACGATATTAACTTCATGGTAAAAGGTGAGACGGGAAATCAAAAACACAAATCCACAACTCTGCACAATAACAGGCAGCAAACTTATTATTATATGTATTGTGTTTGTTTGTTTTATGTTCATGGGACCCTCTCGAAAATGGGGTTTTCCCTTAATAAATCTAAATCTAAACTGTAATGATCCCAAAAACAAGGCTAAAGACAGTCTCTGGTTTCTCTCTGGTCTCTCTCTCTGGTATCTCTCTCTGGTCTCTCTCTGGTCTCTCTCTCTGGTCTCTCTCTCTGGTCTCTCTCTGGTATCTCTCTGGTCTCTCTCTCTGGTCTCTCTGGTCTCTCTCTGGTCTCTCTCTGGTCTCTCTCTGGTCTCTCTCTGGTCTCTCTCTGGTCTCTCTCTGGTCTCTCTCTGGTCTCTCTCTGGTCTCTCTCTGGTCTCTCTCTGGTCTCTCTCTGGTCTCTCTCTGTTCTCTCTGGTCTCTCTCTGGTCTCTCTCTGTTCTCTCTGGTCTCTCTCTGTTCTCTCTGGTCTCTCTCTGGTCTCTCTCTGGTCTCTCTCTGGTCTCTCTGGTCTCTCTCTGGTCTCTCTCTGGTCTCTCTGGTCTCTCTCTCTGGTCTCTCTCTGGTCTCTCTCTGGTCTCTCTCTGGTCTCTCTCTGGTCTCTCTCTGGTCTCTCTCTGGTCTCTCTCTGGTCTCTCTCTGGTCTCTCTCTGGTCTCTCTCTGGTCTCTCTCTGGTCTCTCTCTGGTCTCTCTCTGTTCTCTCTGGTCTCTCTCTGGTCTCTCTCTGTTCTCTCTGGTCTCTCTCTGGTCTCTCTCTGGTCTCTCTCTGTTCTCTCTGGTCTCTCTCTGGTCTCTCTCTGGTCTCTCTCTGTTCTCTCTGGTCTCTCTCTCTTCTCTCTGGTCTCTCTCTCTTCTCTCTGGTCTCTCTCTCTTCTCTCTGGTCTCTCTCTCTTCTCTCTGGTCTCTCTCTCTTCTCTCTGGTCTCTCTCTGTTCTCTCTGGTCTCTCTCTGGTCTCTCTCTGTTCTCTCTGGTCTCTCTCTGGTCTCTCTCTGGTCTCTCTCTGTTCTCTCTGGTCTCTCTCTGGTCTCTCTCTGGTCTCTCTCTGTTCTCTCTGGTCTCTCTCTCTTCTCTCTGGTCTCTCTCTCTTCTCTCTGGTCTCTCTCTCTTCTCTCTGGTCTCTCTCTGTTCTCTCTGGTCTCTCTCTGGTCTCTCTCTGTTCTCTCTGGTCTCTCTCTGTTCTCTCTGGTCTCTCTCTGGTCTCTCTCTGGTCTCTCTGGTCTCTCTCTGGTCTCTCTCTGGTCTCTCTGGTCTCTCTCTCTGGTCTCTCTCTGGTCTCTCTCTGGTCTCTCTCTGGTCTCTCTCTGGTCTCTCTCTGGTCTCTCTCTGGCCTCTCTCTGGTCTCTCTCTGGTCTCTCTCTGTTCTCTCTGGTCTCTCTCTGGTCTCTCTCTGGTCTCTCTGGTCTCTCTCTGTTCTCTCTGGTCTCTCTCTGGTCTCTCTCTGGTCTCTCTCTGGTCTCTCTGGTCTCTCTCTGGTCTCTCTCTGGTCTCTCTGGTCTCTCTCTCTGGTCTCTCTCTGGTCTCTCTCTGGTCTCTCTCTCTTCTCTCTGGTCTCTCTCTCTTCTCTCTGGTCTCTCTCTCTTCTCTCTGGTCTCTCTCTGGTCTCTCTCTGTTCTCTCTGGTCTCTCTCTGGTCTCTCTCTGGTCTCTCTCTGTTCTCTCTGGTCTCTCTCTGGTCTCTCTCTGGTCTCTCTCTGTTCTCTCTGGTCTCTCTCTCTTCTCTCTGGTCTCTCTCTCTTCTCTCTGGTCTCTCTCTCTTCTCTCTGGTCTCTCTCTCTTCTCTCTGGTCTCTCTCTCTTCTCTCTGGTCTCTCTCTCTTCTCTCTGGTCTCTCTCTGTTCTCTCTGGTCTCTCTCTGGTCTCTCTCTGTTCTCTCTGGTCTCTCTCTGGTCTCTCTCTGGTCTCTCTCTGGTCTCTCTCTCTGTTCTCTCTGGTCTCTCTCTGGTCTCTCTCTGTTCTCTCTGGTCTCTCTCTGGTCTCTCTCTGTTCTCTCTGGTCTCTCTCTGGTCTCTCTCTGGTCTCTCTCTGTTCTCTCTGGTCTCTCTCTGTTCTCTCTGGTCTCTCTCTGGTCTCTCTCTGGTCTCTCTCTGTTCTCTCTGGTCTCTCTCTCTTCTCTCTGGTCTCTCTCTCTTCTCTCTGGTCTCTCTCTCTTCTCTCTGGTCTCTCTCTCTTCTCTCTGGTCTCTCTCTCTTCTCTCTGGTCTCTCTCTGTTCTCTCTGGTCTCTCTCTGGTCTCTCTCTGTTCTCTCTGGTCTCTCTCTGGTCTCTCTCTGGTCTCTCTCTGTTCTCTCTGGTCTCTCTCTGGTCTCTCTCTGGTCTCTCTCTGTTCTCTCTGGTCTCTCTCTCTTCTCTCTGGTCTCTCTCTCTTCTCTCTGGTCTCTCTCTCTTCTCTCTGGTCTCTCTCTCTTCTCTCTGGTCTCTCTCTCTTCTCTCTGGTCTCTCTCTCTTCTCTCTGGTCTCTCTCTGTTCTCTCTGGTCTCTCTCTCTTCTCTCTGGTCTCTCTCTCTTCTCTCTGGTCTCTCTCTCTTCTCTCTGGTCTCTCTCTCTTCTCTCTGGTCTCTCTCTCTTCTCTCTGGTCTCTATCTGGTCTCTATCTATCTTTCTTTGTAAATAAGTCATTTTTTATTCTTACTATTATTATTATTGACATTTATAATTTTCTTTACAAAACGCCTCACATTGCTACATATTAATTCATATTTTCTGCTGTTTTGCCAAATTCATGGATCCAAAACTCCTCTTCCAAACTCACAGGGAAAGAACATGCAAACATTTCTGAGATCAAACCAGAATATTCTACATTTCAATCTTTCTGCTGCTTCAGTCTGTTTTTGACCTTCTTTGTGAATGAGTCATAAAAGTCATAATTCATCTTTATTATTCTTTATGATATTTATAATTTTCTTTGTAATGCGCCTCACATTGTTACATAATAATTCATATTTTCTACTGTTTTAACAACTTTACAGACATTACAGAATAAACATATTCTATACAATAAACGATATTACTCCGATATAGTGTGCAGCCCTAATATACATAGTTTGCTGGTTTGCTTGGCTTGAAGGAGAAGGAGGAGAAAGAGAAGGAGAAGAAGGAGAAGAAAGAGGAGAAGAAGAAGAAGGAGAAGGAGGAGAAGAAGAAGAAGGAGAAGAAGGAGGAGGAGAAGAAGAAGAAGAAGGAGGAGAAGAAAGAGGAGAAGAAGAAGAAGGAGAAGGAGGAGAAGAAGAAGAAGGAGAAGAAGGAGAAGGAGGAGGAGAAGAAGGAGAAGGAGGAGAAGAAGAAGACTGGGAAGAAGAAAGAGAAGAAGGAGGAGAAGGAGAAAAATAAGAAGGAGAAGAAGACTGGGAAGAAGAAGGAAAAGAAGGAGAAGAAGAAGAAGAAGAAGACTGGGAAGAAGGAAAAGAAGGAGAAGAAGGAGAAGAAGAAGAAGAAGAAGAAGACTGGGAAGAAGAAGAAGAAGACTGGGAAGAAGAAGAAGAAGAAGAAGACTGGGAAGAAGAAGAAGAAGACTGGGAAGAAGAAGAAGACTGGGAAGAAGAAGAAGACTGGGAAGAAGAAGAAGAAGAAGAAGACTGGGAAGAAGAAGAAGAAGAAGAAGAAGAAGAAGAAGAAGACTGGGAAGAAGAAGAAGAAGAAGACTGGGAAGAAGAAGAAGAAGGGGAAGAAGACGATATTATTGCGATAGTTTTGTCTTTCACCTAAAAGTGCCTCTCATGAAACAAAAGACAAACAACACTAAACAAGCACAACATTAATGACCTTCAAAAACATGGATACTGTTCACACTAATATCACGATAACGATATTACTCCGATATATCGTGCAGCCCTAATATCCATAGTTTGTTCGTTGGATTGTTTACTGTTGCAGTAATAAAAAATGTTTTCTGTTTTTGCTTTTTTTTGCGCAGCTTCTCTTGGTCACACACAGAAACTAAACTCTGTCTAAATCCTGTGCACCTGACTGCGACTTCCGACAACAAAACTTCCCGAAAGCAACACAAAGCAACCTTCAGGATGAATGAAAAAGCAGTGTATTGTTTGTGTTGTGTTGTTGTGTTGTGTTGTGTTGTGTACCTCATTGGCAGGCTAGTGTGTGTGCTGGAGACTGGCCAACAACACTGTGTAGATCCAGGCCATCCCAGGGTCAGGCTGGCACTCTCGGAGATCCATCGCTGCCTTGAGTTCCTCCGGGTTTCTCTGGTCCAAAAAGTTGTGTGTCACTCCTTTGTGTGTTGCTACTTTGTGCGTCGCTCTGTTGTGTGTCGTCCTGCCCAGGCTCTGCTCGCTGTTGTCCTTTTCCACCTCCACAAAACACAAACACTTTGGGGGAAAAACAGCCTCCACTTGGAGCTGGAGCCACTGACAAAGCTGCTCCCTCCCTCTCTGTCTGGCTGCTTCTGTGGGGAGTGCGGGCCCAGGCTCCTCCTCCCCCCCTGAGCACTTCCCTCCCTCTCTGTTGGCAGTGCGGGCCCAGGCTCCTCCTCCCCCCCTGAGCACTTCCCTCCCTCGGTAATAGTTATTTAGTGTCATTCCAGCACCTGCTCAGACAGAGGGAGCCGCAACAAGCTGGATCACAGTTTAAACTTGCACTCTGTATATATTAGAGGGGTGAAGGAGGTCTGACGGAGAGGAGGGGGGGGGAGGGGGAGGAGGAGGAGGAGGAGGAGAGGGGGAGGAGAGGGGGAGGAGGAGGAAGAGGAGAAGGAGGAGGAGGAGGAGGAGGTCTGACGGAGAGGAGGGGGGGAGGGGGTGAAGGAGGTCTGACGGAGAGGAGGGGGGGGGGGGGGGGGGGGGGGGGGAGGAGGAGGAGGAGGAGAGAGGGGAGAGGGAGGGAGGAGGAGGAGGAGAGGGAGGAGGAGGAGGAGGAGGAGGGGGAGGAGGAGGAGGAGGAGGAGAGGGGGAGGAGAAGAAGGAGAAGAAGGTGAGAGAGGAGGAGAAGGAGAAGGAGAAGAAGGAGAGAGAGGAGGAGAAGGAGAAGAAGGAGAGAGAGGAGGAGAAGGAGAAGAAGGAGAGGGAGGAGGAGAAGGAGAAGAAGGAGAGAGAGGAGGAGAAGGAGAAGAAGGAGAGAGAGGAGGAGAAGGAGAAGAAGGAGAGGGAGGAGGAGAAGGAGAAGAAGGAGAGAGAGGAGGAGAAGGAGAAGGAGAAGAAGAATGAGGTGGAGGAGGAGAAGGAGAAGAAGGAGAGGGAGGAGGAGAAGGAGAAGAAGGAGAGAGAGGAGGAGAAGGAGAAGAAGGAGAGGGAGGAGGAGAAGGAGAAGAAGGAGAGAGAGGAGGAGAAGGAGAAGGAGGAGGAGAAGGAGAAGAAGGAGAGGGAGGAGGAGAAGGAGGAGAAGGAGAAGGAGAAGGAGAAGAAGGAGAGGGAGGAGGAGAAGGAGAAGAAGGAGATTATTGTTTTTATTGTTTCTCAGATCCAGTAAAAACAAACCCAGGTGTGAGCTGCTGTCCTGAAGTTATGGTCCAGGCCTTAGAGCTGTTTAGAGCCGTTACATACAGTATTTGCTTTTAGCCTAGCTTTAGCATTTAGATTAGCTTTAGCATTTAGCCTAGCTTTAGTATTTAGCTTAGCTTTAGCATTTAGCCTAGCTTTAGCTTCCGACTGAAATGGTTCTTATTACAATCAAGCTTTAATCTGCAAATGACGGCTTGCTTTTACCAATACCGTTTTTTGAGTAATCTGTCACAGAATAAATCATGTATAGTTTAATTCAAAACATATCTCGCGCGGGTTCGAACACAGGCTGCTGGGGTGTTAGCGCCACGACTTAACCATTACGCCACCATTGCATGGAAAGTTTTTATCCGCCTTCAATTGTCTCATTTTTTAAAGGGATCCCGAAATAAATCCTGGTTTTAGTCCTTGTTTTGTCGTTAATGATTTGAGAATCATAACAAGACCTTTTTTAGTTCTGCGCCACATGGTACTTTACCAGTGAGATTAGTGAGCCGCGCAGAGTTCTGGCGCCTGGAGCAGGAACTTCCTGATTGGTGAAAAGGCGAGGGTAGGACGTCGAAATGAAACAATAACAACTTTTACGGGTCGTAAAATTATTTTTTATTTACAAGTATCTCTGATCTACTGTTGTCAGTTAGAGATGAATTCAAAAAGAGCATGTTTTAATAAAGACTTTTGAAATATTGGGGCCATTTAATGATGACTTGACATGAAAACATTACATACTGCTACTTTAAGTGTCCTTTTTGTGCGTAAATCACGTCCATTACTTAAAATATTGGTGTGTGTTCATCAGTGCAGCCTATTATCATTTTTTATTAGATATAAACAATGCAGATGAATTATGCATTAGTAAATTGGAAGCTAATTCGTAGCCTTGAAAATCAGATTTGTGTTTCGACGTCCGCTTAGGTTAAATAATAGGTTTGGCCGCTACAACAAAATTAGATTTCTAAAGTACCATCTAGTAAACTAGCTCTGATGGAGCGTTTTGTTGATCTGTTTTAAGCTGTGCCAAGACTTTTTATTTTTCCCATCAGATAAAAAGCTAAAATCGCGACTCCTGGTTTGTCGCTCGGAGGAGGACCTTGAGGAGCGACACACTGAACACTCCGTGCTGCGGTTGGCGGCTGGTTCTGGCCGGACTCAGACGTTCTCACACTACGTCACGCTGCGTTGTCCGGGTCTCAAACTAATCCGAAGTGAAAGGTGGAAGAACGGGGTCGGGTCGTGTGAGGACGGCTTTGGCACGGGCGCAATTATCTCCTGAATGAGAGAAAATGGGTCACGTTCACAGATTGTTCAGTCTAAAACTGACAAAGAATTTTAATCAGGTTCTGAACAAACAGATGGACACACGTCACGGACAGGGTTGGGAGTAAAAATACTGTTTCTTTTTCATTTTCACCCTTTAACATTAACTTTTTGGATTTTCTAATCTGGAGCAGCACTAATAACACTTTATTATTGAAGTCAAGTCATCATTAAAGGGCCCGTCTCTGTCCAAAGGCATTAATAAAACATGCTAGTTTTCCAGCCCCTATAGTATCTTGTTATTGTTTTCATTTCGATGTCCCGCCCTCCACCGTTTCACCGAACAGAAAGTCTGTGATCCGGGCGCCAGAACTCACCGCATGGAGCTAATCTCACTGGTAAAGTACCATGTGGCGCAGAACTAAAAAAGGTCTCGTTATGATTCTCAAATCATTAACGACAAAACAAGGACTAAAACCAGGATTTCTATCTTTGTGAAAAAGGTGTTGGTTATAGATTTGTTGTTGACAAAACTCTTGTCTATTCAGCTGTTATGGTCCCAGCTGGATTCGTCTGCATATCTGGCAACCTGAGTCAGGGAGAGTGGGAGAGGCTGCAGTACCACTTTTGGCCACATTAACTTTGTGATCATAAGAGTGGCCGTTATTGTTATGTCTGTGGGAGTTCTGAGAGGAGGATATTTCCCGAGTCCTCTCATAGTTTCTGGGACAAGTACAAACCAGAACCATGGCAAACACGGAGACTGTATTTAATCTGGAATACTGAATAGATCGAGCAGGAAGCCGGGGGAAAGTAAAAAGTCAAGAGTTGCCCAAGGCTGAGTTTTGGAGGGAGGGGAGGGGCAGAGGAAGAGAGAAATCCTTATGAACACCTGTCTGCTCCGGCGTCCCACGGTCATCAATCTGGGCCGTCTGTCGAGGTGAGTCTCGGAGCAGCACCAAAAAAAAAAGGCACATCAAAAACCAAAATGACAGTTCGCCGACTTCATTCCTCAACCTTTATTTTTCATTTTACAGTCTCATAATGCAGTTCTACAGGAGCTTCTCAGTGTCTGCGCTGAGTGTGGGGTAGCAGTGGTAGAGGATTGGTCTTTGAGCCTGAAGGTGGCGGGGTTGAGCCCACCACAAGACTTTCCCCACCGACTCCCACTGATGTCTGCTGTTGTTGTGTCCTTGGGCAAGACACTTAAACTCTGGGAACAGCAGGTGCCACAGTGGGGCGGCTGCGGCTGTAAAGTGCCAAACTGTGGTTGTGTCCCTAGGCAAGACACTTCATCCCCATTGCCTAGAATGAGTCTGGTGTGTGTGTGAATGGTTGGTCTCTGGTCTCTGTCTGGTCTCTCTCTGGTCTCTCTCTGGTCTCTCTCTGGTCTCTCTCTGATCCTTAGGCAAGACACTTCCCCCACATTAGAATGAGTCTGGTGTGTGTGTGAATGGTTGGTGGTGGTGGGAGGGGCCGATGGCACAGACTGGTTGACTTGCTTCTGTCAGTGTGCCCCAGGGCAGCTGTGGCTTCAGTAGACCAGTCAGATCTGAGGAGACACTGGTACAGCTGTTTGCTCTGAGAAGTGAGGCTCATTGATTGTTGCTATGATTATATTGTTGAGTTGTTTTGTGTTTTTATGTGTTTGTCTTTCCTGGACCATGAGTCTGCTATAAAAGTTCCATCCATTTTCTTCCCCTTAATCCATTTCTGGGTCGGGGGGTGGCAGTCAGAGGAGCAGCCCCAAACTGATCCTCCTGTGGGTGCTGAGTCCACCGGAGCCTTGATTATTCAGCAGGGGCTTCAGGCAAAGTGTCTTGCCCAAGGACACAACGGCAGTAGACATCAGTGGGAGCCGTAAAGTAGGTCTCAAACCCACGACCTTCAGGCTCTAAGGCCAATGCTCTACCAACTGAGCCACTGTCGCCCCCAAAAAGTTTGATGATGAAAATGCAACGAGCCGAGTTCTCAAGACACAAAGTTTATTTTATTTTATTTATTATTTTTACAGCGACGAAAACGGTTTCTATACAGTATTGTGCCTTCATGCCTTCATCTATTGACTGTAAACACGGTCAGCTGACATTCACACAGATCCAGAACTACGCAGCACAATGTTTCTTACACTTGGCATTTTAAACATTTGTAAAGTGCTAGATTGCAAAAGACTGAGTTCAATAACAAACAGCATCACCAAAGTACTGGGCGGCACGGTGGCTGAGTGGATAGCACTCTTGCCTCTCAGCAAGAAGGTCCTGGGTTCGAATCCCGGTCGGACCAGGGCCTTTCTGAGTGGAGTTTGCATGTTCTCCCCGTGTCTGCGTAGGTTTCCTCCGGGTACTCCGGTTTCCCCTACCACTAAAAATATGTCCAATAGTTCTGGCATGTGCCTCCTGTACTGGCCCCTCCCATCTCTGTGTGGAATGAGAGACAAATGCCCAAAATTAACAATTGTAAACCGCTTTGAGACTCAGATCTGCAGTGAAAAGGCGGTATATAAATAAAGATTACTTACTTACTTACTTACTACTTACTTACTGTGAGGATGAAGGAAAGAACAGATATAACAGAAGTCTAATTAAACACATGAAGAATTTAACCCTTTAGGCGCCACAGGTTTTTTCATCTTAATTTCTTAATAACTTAAAAGTGAGAAGAGACAGAGGCTTTGTGTAAATTGGATATGTTATAAAAATGGCCCAAAGTTTATGTAGGAATGAAAAGCACCTGTCTAGTTTGTTTAAAATTACTTAATATGGTTGTGGAATTTATGGATTTTCATTAAAGTAGCAATTTGTAAGATTTTCATGTCAAATCATCAATAAAGGGCCCCAATCTGTCATCATTAAAGGTCCCAATCTGTCATCATTAAAGGGCCCTAATCTGTCATCATTAAAGGGCCCAATCTGTCATCATTAAAGGACCCTAATCTGTCATCATTAAAGGGCCCTAATCTGTCATCTTTAAAGGGCCCTAATCTGTCCACATTAAAGGGCCCCAATTTGTCGTTATTAAAGGGCCCTAATCTGTCATAATTAAAGGGCCCTAATCTGTCATCATCAAAGGGCCCTAATCTGTCATCTTTAAAGGGCCCTAATCTATCATCATCAAAGGGCCCTAATCTGTCATCATTAAAGGGCCCCAATTTGTCGTTATTAAAGGGCCCTAATCTGTCATAATTAAAGGGCCCTAATCTGTCATCATCAAAGGGCCCTAATCTGTCATCTTTAAAGGGCCCTAATCTATGATCATTAAAGGGCCCTAATCTGTTATCATTAAAGGGCCCCAATGTGTCGTTATTAAAGGGCACTGATCTGTCATCATTAAAGGGCCCTAATCTGTCATAATTAAAGGGCCCTAATCTGTCATCATCAAAGGGCCCTAATCTGTCCAAATGCATTAATAAAACCTACTCTTTTCCAATACTTCTTTAACTGATAACAGTAGTTCAGAGATATTTGAATTTCTAAATTAGTTTTACAGCCCCTAAATCTTGTTATTGTTTCATTATTCTCAAATCATTAACGACAAAACAAGGAATAAAACCAGGATTTCTATCTTTGTGAAAAAGGTGTTTGGTTTTAGATTTGTTGTTGACAAAACTCTTGTCTATTCAGCTGTTATGGTCCCAGCTGGATTCGTCTGCATATCTGGCAACCTGAGTCAGGGAGAGTGGGAGAGGCTGCAGTACCACTTTTGGCCACATTT